ACCTCAGGCTTACTGGGCAGGCTCTTTTGCCACTAAATTCCTAGTCCAAGTTTTACCTATTTTATCTTCTTGCAGACTTAACTGTTTTAATATTTAGATCTTTGATTCATTTTTATTTTCATTTAGTACATGGTGAGATATATGGGTCTTGATTTATATTTTTTTATTTTAAACAGGATAAAACAGAATAAAACCTATCAAAGCAAACCAATGTAAAAGATACAGGACTTCAAAACATTATGAAATCAACAATAGTTATAATAATGCCTTTTGATGTCTTCAAAATAGCTGCAGATAATTCTGGACATAGTAAAAATCAAACAGAACAGAAAAGAATAAAAACAATAAAAGCAAAACAATGAATGCAATAAAAGACTTCAAAATAATCCTATGGTAAATCCAAAATTGCTACTATATCTTGCTATCTTTGCAATATAGCTGCTCCTGCCATCAGATTTGACATAATCATACAAAACAAAAGAGAATAAACAACAAAACAATGGAAATAATATAGGACTTCCAAAACATAGGGAATCAACAATGGCTGCAAACCTCAGAAGGAAATCCCCCTAGATGTCACATTGTATACCATTATGCTCTGAACCTATAATCAGACCGCTGGCCCTAGACCTGCAATGTTAGTGAAACACCAAAGCACGATAGGCATCCCTATTGCAATTCACCTCCATAGCTATCATCACAGCCTGTGTTTCTCCAGATAAGCCTGTTGTTTACAATGGAGGTGGGTGGGAGGTGGGGAATGCCACTTCTTGTTTGCCAGCCCGCATGCTACAAGAGTCTGGGGTCTGTTCACCAGTGGCCCACACATGGCACTGGTTCCCAGACTGGGCTTGCTTGCTGGTGTGGCTATGTTCTCTCTACCCATGGTCCACGAATGGCACTGACTCATGGGAAGAGGCTGGGGTTGTCTTGATTTACTCTTATGCATGTGGATAGCCAGCTTTCTCAGCATTATTTGTTTTTTTGCTGTTTAGTTGTTGTTGTTGTCACTCAATAATGTAGTCCAGACTGGCCTCAAACGTGCAATGATCCTCCTGCCTCAGCCTTCTGAGTACTAGGATTAAAGGCATGAGCCACCGTGTTTGGCCTCTCAGCATCATTTTTTTATACCTTGCACTTGCCAGGCAGGCAGTATATAGATGATCATCTTTTCTAGCTTCATGTACTTCTGCCTATAATCCCAATATTCAGGAAGCTGAGGCAGAAGGATCATCACCAATTCAAGACCAGCCAGAGCTACATAGTGAGTTTAAGGCCAGCCTGGACTGCACAGTGAGACTTTGTGTCAAAACACCAGAAAAATATTAAATAATCTCCTCCTCCTTCTGAGAATAATGATGAAGCTGATTAATGTTATATGTCTGATTATTTTGAGGTAATTTGCCAATTTCTTGAAATTTGGGAAAGAAACTAAGCAATGTTTTTCAAGTCATAATATTCAAAATAGTGATATAACTATTTTTGTCTTTTTTGAGACAGAGTTTCTCTATGTACTTCAGGTTGGCCTTTAACTCACTTTGTAGTCCAGGCTGACCTCAAACTCATAGCAATCCTCTTGCCTCAGCTTCACAAGTGCTGGGATTACAGGCGCGCACTACCAAGCCCAGCAATATAACTAATATTTGAAGGCTAGCAAGAGGATAATTGAGGGGAAGTGTAGCTTAGAACAGTGGCGGAAAACCTATGAGATGTGTGTTGTAGTTGACTGTTTGTGTTACTGAAAGTTCTAAAAGGTTTGCCATCACTGGTAGAGAACGTAAATGTCTAGCTTCTCTATTAAGAACTAACTGATACTATTTAAAACAGGCTGTTCCCCAATGTTTGCTTCATGAGCGTATGAGCAAAGCAACCAGAATGGAAGCCATGGTGAACATGGCCAGAGGTCTTTCTCATCTGTCCAGGGCAAGGCTGGGTCTGATTCCCAAATTCCCCACCAGCAGCTGCCCCCACTCCCACCCCTGGGGTCCTGATAAGGCACCACCTCTCTCCCTAGCTACCCAGTGGCAGCAATTTGCCCTCACTGAAAAAAAAAAAATCACTTATTCTAGGCCTGACTTTCTCTTCTAGTTCATGGTGTCCATACCCCAATCCTCCACTGAGACTGCCATTCAGTGGAAGAAATAAAGCAAGGAGGCTTTTCACATCCTGGCCTCACCCAGAAGCAGCCACTTCATGAAACTACAGGATGGTTATAAAGACTTCATCTGGGGCCCAGTTCCAGCAAAATGATGAATTAAAAGATAACCAGAAAATTCCTCCTACAAATGCCCAGAGCTTCTGGACAAAACAATTTACTCATTTATTTTTGAGACAGGATCTTGCTATATATTTCACACTGGCCTTAAACTCAATATGTAGGCCACAAATCCTTCTGCCTCAGCCTTCCAAATGCTAGGTTTACAGGTGTGAACCACCAGGACCACCAAAACAGAATATTAAAAATTATTTACTCCTGAGATCCACGCCATGCTGGAATTTAGGGTGCTGGGAAACCAAGCAACTAGCTCACCTCCCTGGTAAGCAGCCATAACTCAGGCAAGCTGCAGCTGCCCCAGGGAGAGAGCCACCCAGCAGCTCCCAAGATCCGCACCATGCTGGAACTTAGGGTGCTGGGAAACGAAGCAACCCGCTTGCCTCCCTGGTAAGCAGCCATGAGCCTACCAGCACACAGGCTGAGAATCAAACATCTTCCCCTACCCCGTTAACAAATGGGAGCCAGAGGTCTGAGCATCTCTTGGGAGGTTGACCACACGCAATATAGCAAATAGAGAGGATTTCCTTTCACCATCTCTTTGAAGGCAAATATTGTTATCACTGTTTTGCTTTTTTCTGATTAATTATATTGCTCTATTCAATATTCTGTTTTGATAAGTTCCATGCTGTTCTGTATTTGGTTTGATTTTGCTATACCTGATGGAAAGAACGACTATTGTGAAGATAGCAAGATATATTATGGTACCTATTACTGTTGTCCCAGTAAACTGCTGTGAAGTCCTGTACCAATTTCACTGCACTGTCCCAATTGGCTTTGTTCTGTCTTGTTCTGTTGTATTTTACTACCTTCAAAATAGTAAAAAATTTTTAAAAAATTATTTAAGTACTTGGGAGGCTGAGGCAAGAGGATTGTTGCAAGTTTGAGACCAGCCTGAGCTATAAAGTGACTTCCAAAGCCAGCCTGAACTGCATAGCGAGTCCTGTCTCAAAAAGACAAAAAAATTATTTAAATTGTTTTTGTTTTTGAACATATAACGTGGGACTGAGATAAATAATCCAAAATACAAAAAGTAAATGAAAATAAGGTATCCATCCATCCTTTGTTCCCTACTACCTGGGTCTTCCCTGGGAGCTATTCCTAACCATCCCTACGGTTTTATATATCCTTCTTACATTAAGTGGAAAATTTATAAACATATACTATATATTAAAGAAACTTATCTGGAATGCAGGGCAAAGATTGGAAGATGAAAATAAAAAATCCCCAAATGCTAGAATTAAAAGAGAATTTTAAAATAGTCCAGCAATTTAGAAGTTTAAATGTTTATGTGAGCAGAAGACTTTAAGGCTAAGGGAGGCAACAAATTGGAACTGAGATTCCTAAACAAACTAGGAACCTTGAAATCTATTCAATGGAAAACTGACCAACAACAACAAAAAATCCCAGCTTCCCACATGGGTGATTCAGCTCAAGATTAATTCACACTTTGTATGGAGTTGGGTTCTAAATTTGCACCTCCTGCATAATTGAGAGAGTCAGGCAGAGGAGTTACTTCAACACTGCCCCTGAGATCTGGCCCTTCCTTCCCAGACTGCATTTCCAGGTAGGATAATCAGGCCAGGATTTTATTCAGTACCAGAGTGATCTCCATGCAGTCTCCTCTCACCCTGTATCCCTGAAAGTCTCTGCAATCCCGCTGCCACCACTGCTACCATAATCCTAACCCCCATCAGCATTCAGGCTTAAAAAAGTAGAACTGATGTGGCCATCACATGTGGATGGTAAGCTTGTCTGACACTCTAGATGACAGGCAACTTCCATTTTTGGTTCTGTCCTCTGCATAAACAAGATCTCCTGGGAGGCCATTGGTCCGATTAGCATTCTCTCAGTAACAGGACCATTTTCTTTGCTGTTCTGATCCAAATCCGGATGAAAAGAAGTCGTGTGTGTGTCAGCAGGCTGATTTCTGTCTTACACCATGTCCCCTCATTCAAATCTAGTGTGGCAGGTCATCTCAGGAGGAGCTAGGGTGAGGGAGAATGGACCTCTCCTTCTCCAGGAAACACAAACTCTGAACACAGTGGGATAAATTCTTACAGACACCCTGGAACCCAAAACAGAGCACCAACTAGCTGCTCCCATCACCAGGAGGAAGGAGATTCTTCCAAGGAGATAGTAGTAGGGCATTCCAAGCAGGAGAAGCAGCCCATAACAAGGTATTTTATTTGGGACCCTAAGAACCCCAGAGTGGGAGACTGGGAGAGAGGAGGCAAGGGAAAAGGCAGAATGTTGGACAGCTAACTTTAGATTCTATGCTGAAGGCATCGAGAATAGAATTTTTAAGTGGGGAAGGTACAAGAGCCTTTCCTGCCTGGGCACAGGTGTGTAAGGTACAGAACAGAGCCATAAAGAGAGTTTCTGACCCTGGTTATCCAGCCACTTATCCTGCTTGTACCCAGGAAAAAAGGCAAAGGGCTGGCCCGAGGCCATATCTTTCTCCTTTCTTGACCTCTCACCTCGTTTTAACTACAGAATCACTCCTCCAAGGAACTGAATAATTTTCCAAAATCTAAGAAAGAATGACAGGTGGCAAAGTTTCACAAAGTTCTCGAGACCTGGAAAGGTTCCCTTGGTGCCTCCAGTCAGGCATCATAGACACTTTCTGGAGTACCTACTGTCTTCCTTTGAAGTGACTCTTCCTCAGTCGCTCACAGAACATCGAGGGACATTTCTTCCACCACCTTGTCATTTGAGCATCCGAAGTTCACACCAGGTTAAAAAGCTGAAGCAGTCGCTGCATCCAGGAGCCTTGGTAACTGGCATTCCTGGAACAAGCAAAGGGTCCTGTGGTTTGGTTTCCTGTAGGTGTCTCTAAGCCCTGGGCAAAGGCCTGCTTCATCCTGGGAAGGAGAGTCAACAGACAGACCCAAGAGTGGGCCTAAGCTTTGCCACGCTGCCCTCTCTTCAGCACCTACCTGAAGATCATGTGGTGTTGATCGACGTCACTGAGGGCAGAGCCCTGTGGGATTTGTGGGTTCCTCAACACCACACAAGTCACACAGTAGAAATCCAAATGGTGCGCCAAAGGTCTGGGAGTCGCTTTCAACATCTTCTTCCACATTTTGCCAAGCTCACTTACTGAGTTCCTGACCTGGTAACAGCAGGAGGAAGAGGCTGAAGGCTGAGGCCAGGTAGCAGCTCCCAGTGGAAAGAAGCAGGCCTGAGTGGTGAAACCTGCATCCAGAGATGAGAGAATGAGTCTGAAGAGAGGAGGACTCAGCCAGGCCAAAGGCAGGGGTTTGAGTAAGAAAACAGGAAAGCGCTAGGCATGAGGCAGACATGGAGTATCACAGGGCCCGTGCTGACCACTGACCAGTCTCCAGGAAACTTTTGTCCTTATGAAGTACGCTCCAGTCTTCCAGGCACCCTCCAAACCAGTTCCATTCTCCAACTCTGTAGTGACAGGAGGAGCAGTTGCAGGTCCCAGAAGAAAATGTGAACCAAGGGTAGTTGTGATGCCATGGAACCACACACATCTGCTTTCCTTGGAGTGCTGATTCAGGGGTCAGATGCAGGTACGGAGCCATCAGCCACAAGAGGAGCACCCAAAAGTCCCATAGGACAACAATCTTCCCCAGTACTTCATGTCTGATTCACACAATGGTTTGTGTGGCTGGCAGCAGACTTGCTTCTCTACCTGGAAGGTTGTGGGGCTGAAGCTGCTGACAGCACCCGCTTCCCTCTGTTCTGTTGGCCACCATATCTCCCCACTCTCTACACCCCACACTCCTCCAGCCTCTCATATCCTGACTCCCCATCCATTTCCTTACCCCCAAAGCAAATGCTGACTGGGCTGAGATAGAAGATGCCAGAGGAGACAATTTCTACATCACTTAAGAAGAGACCTTCAAGACTTTATAAAATTATAAAAGAATTATAAAAGAAAAAGTATGAAGTTTTAAAAACTGGCTCTGAATATGGGGCATTTAAATGAAAAAGCTCATAATGAATAACAAAAAGATGCCAGAGCAGAAAGACAACATATATTGGGTCCTAAATGCCCCCTGCAAGAGGGAGGATTAGCTCAGTGTTATCCCAGGTATATTACAGAGCTCATCATAAAGTATACATTGCGGCCAGCTTCATATAGCTTGCCTGGAAAATCACCACCCTGGGCTGGGGATTTAGCTCAGTGGCGTAAGCGCCTGCCTTGCAAGCAGGCAGTCATGAGTTCAATCCCTGGTACCGATAAAAAAATAAAAGTGAAAAAGAAAAAATAAAAATCCAATTCTCTGCATCAGAAGTCAAATTAAAAACTATAAATAAAATCTTTCTAGATTCTAGATAAAAAAGAGAAAATCACCACCCTGTCCTATCTCCAATGCCCAAATGGCCAACGTTGAATGTAAGTTCCATGGGGACAGGGTTCTGCCTTAACTCTCTTTGTTCAGTGGACTTCCACGCAGATGTCTTAGGGGTATCTAAACAGAAGAGGCCAGAATTTGAACTAAATTTTAAAAACCAACCCCTTCCCAAGGCTTTCCTATCTCTAGTCACCCATTCCCACAGTGCTATCGCTTATGTAACCAAAAATTCATGTGTTGGACATTCATTCCTCAGCACTACACCATTAGGCGGTGGAGTCTGATGGGAGGTTTTGGGTCAGGATGACAGATAACTCGTGAGGCATTAATGCCTTTCTCTTAAGAACAGGAATGGACTAGCCACTGTGCGAGTTTGACTCTTAGTCTTTCTTGTACACACAGCTTTCTCTAGCTTCTGACTTCTGTAGTGTTATGAAGCTGCACAAAGCTCTTGTGGAGTCTAGCACCCTGATCTTGGACTTTGTATCCTCAGAGGTTTATTGAGCCAAAATAAACTACTTTCCTTTATAAATTATCCAGTCTCATATATTGTTATGGCAACAGAAAACGGACTCAGCTACCTGGTTACTGAAGCCAAAAACACATGTATTATCCCCCCTCTTCTATGATACACAAATACATTTATTGCCTTTTCCCATATGCCTTCTCTGTATTGATCAGCTTTCTCATTGCTACAAAATAGCTGACACACACAATTTGAGGAGGAGAGGTTTATTTTGGCACATAGTTTCAGATGGTTAAGTCCATGGTTGGTTGGGTACAAGGCAAGAACATCATGGTGGAAGAGTACTGCAGAGGGAAACTGCTCAACTCAAGGGCAGCCAGGAACAGAGAAAGCAGGAAGAACCAGAAAGAGAGAAAAAGAAAGAGGGAGGGAGGAAAAGAGGGAGAGAAAGTCAAAAGACAACTCCTCTGTGACCTATCTCCTCCAACTATTAGCACATTCAACTGTGAACTCATCAATGAGTTCACAGTCAATCCACTGATGAGTATAGTGCCCCCCATAATCCAGTCACCTCCCCAAAACTCCCTCTGGACAAAGGGAACTTTTGGGGGACATTTTGGTTGTATTTGTGACAGCTCTTCCTCTCCAGACAATGGGCTGCAACGCAAAGTGGGGGTGAAGGGCTTAAATTCACACACTTATGTCTAGGCCTTGGAGGAGTGGCACACAATGGTGAGGGGCCTAGGGTCTAGAAAATAATTTAGGTCAATAATTTAGAGAAATCCAGGACTTGAGAGAACTACTGGGACACTGTTTGAGTAAAATCAACCTATTCCTTGATTCTCAAAGTACTTTGAGGGCCAGAAGAACTGGACTGGAATAAGGTCCAGCTATTAATCAGTTTGCCCTTGGGAAAGTGAAGCTAATGCCAACTCTGCAGGGCAGACTCTCACAGCATCAGAATCACCACAGTGCCACTCCTAGAATTGCTAATTCAGTAATGGCCACCACTTGTTCACTTTTCTAACCAACTCCAAGGTGATAATGTTGCTTTTGGTTATTGGAGGGACCCTAAAAACCACTATTCTAAGAGATTCAAGTGTCCGAAGTGAGAGACTTGACACAAGGCAAGGTTCCTAGCACAAGGCAACCAAAAGCCGCTACTGCTACAGTATTTGTAGACAGCAGAGACCTTCTGCCCGGACCCTGACCCACGCAGTACAATCCCGAGATCACCGAGCCTTCACCGCGGCGTGCAGACACTGGAGCGAGGGGGCGTGCCACATCGGTGGGCGGGGCAGTCTGTCACGTCGTGGGTGAGGGCTCAGGCGTGCCTAGTGCTGCGCCTGCGCGAGGAGGGCAGGAGGCGTGACTCCGGCTCCCAGCCGGAAGCCAGAGGCGGCCGAGGCGGGCCGGCTGGCGACCCCTTTCCGGCCGGTCCCTATGGAGGCGCTGGGGAAGCTCAAACAGTTCGATGCCTACCCCAAGACTCTGGAGGACTTCCGGGTCAAGACCTGCGGGGGCGCCACAGGTAAGCAGCAGCGGGGCCAGGGTTGTGGGGAAGGCGCTGTCCTAGAGTTTGGCCTGGGCGCCTGAACTCTGGACGGCCTGCTGGTGTCTGAGAGTGGAACAGAGGCCATTCTGACCCTCGCTCCTCGCACTGCAGTGACTATCGTCAGTGGCCTTCTTATGCTGCTACTGTTCCTGTCGGAGCTGCAGTATTACCTCACCACTGAGGTAAGGGCCGGTCTAGCACGCTGGCGGGGCGGGGCATGCTAAGATAGGACCTTTGGGGTGGGAGTGGGGAAGGAGAGGTGTGGAGCCCAACCTGACTGATGTAGCACGGCCATAGGTGCATCCTGAGCTCTACGTGGACAAGTCACGGGGAGATAAACTGAAGATCAACATTGATGTCCTTTTTCCGCACATGCCTTGTGCCTGTGAGTACCTCACTAAGGTTGGGAGTTGGAAACCCCAGGGTTTCCAGATGGGCTTTCAGATTCTCACATCCAGCCTTAGATTCTCACCTGAAACCCAGGACATCCTCCGACCCCTTGTCCGATTTTGGCTCCTGTCCTGCCACAAGATAGGTTCTTTCCATCCAAAATCCAGACCTCTACACCCTACAGTCCTGATATTTAAGCTTGATTTCTTGCTTGCAGATTTGAGCATTGATGCCATGGATGTGGCTGGGGAGCAGCAGCTGGACGTGGAACACAACCTGTTTAAGAAACGACTTGACAAGGATGGCATCCCCGTGAGCTCAGAGGCTGAGCGGCATGGTAACCAGAGTGGGGGACTGAGTCTCAGATCCTAAAGCTGGACATATCCAAATCTTACATTCTGGCAAGTGGACTATGGCAGGCACATTGACATTAAAGAGCTAATGCCTAGAGAAGTCAGCTCACTTTCCCAGAGTACCCAACTCAGAGACAGGGCATGGTGTCACACACCTATAATCCTAGCACTTGGGAGGCTGAGGCAGGAGGAGCACTGCAAGTTCCAGGCCAGTTTGGTCTGTATAGTGGATTCAAGGGCAGTCTGAACTACATAGCAAGACCCTGTCAAAAAACCAAGAAAGAATTAGAATGGAGCCAGCTGTGGTGGCATGCTCCTGTAATCCCCGCTACTCTGGAGGCTGAGGCAGGATAATCAAAAGTTCCACCCTAGCCTGGTCCACTTCAAGAGACCCTGTCTCAAAGTAAAAGGCTGATGATGTAGGTCTGTGCTTCAGAATTTATCTAGATTACACAAGGCTCTTGATTGAATCCCTATTACTGAGGGAAAAACCAAAACAGAGCACATAGGTCTAGCTTTTATATGTTGAGTTTGGTATTTTACCTGGTTTTCATTCTGGTTTTGTTTTTGTTGTTTGTTTTTGGTTTTTTGCTTTAAACAATTTAACTGAAATGGACTTCCATTTATTTAACTGAAGTGACTTCCATTTATTTTGGTATATTTTTCCCCATGGTGATTTACAGAATCTTTAAACCAATTTACAGAATGATTTACAGAATCTTTAAACCAATTTCAATATTTCATTTGACCATTTACCCATAGACAGTATCTCAGTAATATCTGTCAGCAAGAAAACCACTGAAGTGTAAAGACCTGACACAGTTAACTAGGTAGAATGAAAATCCACTCCAAATATTTGTTTCTGAGGTAAAGGTACCACATACCTGTTCATATAAAAAAACCATCCTAGGCGGTATGGATGGTTTTTTATTTTTAAGTGGGGCCTGGAACACTTAGCCTCCAATTAGATACTGAATGGCAGAGCTCCACCCCCAGCTTAGGCCATGAATTCCTAGGGAATAGGTTCCAACAACTCAGGCTCCTTCCCATTGGTTCTTACCAACTGCGCTTCTCTGTGGGGCCAGCTGGCACTTAGTTGAACCCTGGCACCTTTCTCTTTGGCTTTTTTTTTTCTGATCATTTTCTTTGGCACATGTCAGGAAGCTATCACAACTCTTTGAGTGTTTAATATGGTCAATATGCACATTAATCCTCTTGGCAAGTATATTGCCCTTAACTTGCTTGTTTACAACAATGCCAATAGCATACTGGGTAGCACCATATATTTTTCCAGTTTTGCCATGGTAACATTTGTGTGGCATTCCTTTTTGCACAGTACCCATTCCCTTGACATCTACAATATCACCCTTTTTGTAGATTCGCATGTATGTGGCCAAAGGAACGACCCCATGTTTTTAACAAGCCTAGAGAACGTATTCTAGGTTCCCCTCCTCTTTTC